ATGATAATAATTAGTTGACCCCAAACACTGTTAATACACAAAGATTATTTTTTTGTTGTACTTAATAGTAAACGGAAATAATTATCATAATTTCACAAACATACTTTGAATTTACAGTTTTATCATGTCCCTATGTGATGACGAAATTCATTTGAGGCCACGCCAGGTGGCCATTTATAGGAGAAGGAACGGGAAGGTTTGTAGTCAGTAACAGTAAGTAATTTCCCTTCTCGCTTTACAGTACAGGAGAAGGGATTTGATGATTTTCTCCCTTCAAAACCGAAAGATGGCTGTATTTATAATGAAACGATGACTGTGTAGAATAACTTTTAACTGACTGTACCCGGTAAGCCAAATTCATGACTATTATGCATTAGATATTGTCATTAATAATAATAATAAGTAATTTTGGAACTGGAAATTTATTTTTGACTGGTTCTTGTTTGATGTAGATAAATTTTTCGATGCAATACTGGATAACATTAATCATTTTACGATTATTTAAAATAGTAATTAAGTGTAGAAAGCGTATGATTTTTTTGCGTTTATATAAATAAAACATGTTGTTAAAAGCGTACTAATAGCGACATATCATATCATTATTAAAAAAAAATAACCAAATTAATTATTTGTTTTGGAGTGCCATGCTTCGGCCGGCATCAACTGACTCGACCAGAGTGACACCGGTCTCACAGACAACTGGCTTGAAACAACTAATGTGTTGTGTTTTGCATTATAAGTGAAGTTTCCAGAGGCCTTATCTTGTCTTCCTCCTGTCCCTCCCCAATTCTTGAAACCTCAACCCCCATAATCTTGCAAATCATCTGTTGTTGCGGGTGTCATGTATTAATTACATATAATATCCGAATGTAATTAGTGCGTACTTCAATTACTATTAAATTAATTAAATAACTAGGTGCCTACAATGATTCAGTATTTAATATACATATAATGCAATGGGTATCGACGCAATTCCATTATAGATCAGTGAGCTGTAATCGGATCAAATTATTAGATTACAAAACGCGTGTATTTAATGATTCGCGAATATGATTTCATTAATCATTTAAATATGTGACCAATATTAATTTATTACATATTATGAACATTTTCATGATATGTGTGAATAGTCTGTTACTGTTCTGGCGTCTGATATATTAGTTCAGAAGTAGAATTTTAAGGCTGTTGATGAAGATGATGATGATTAGGATCCAAAATCGCGCCGGGTGACGAATTATTAAATCGACATAGAGTAAATAAAATGTATCTTTCAATTTGACTCGTAAAACTGTATGAAAGAAAGATAGATAGAAAGAAGGAAAAGTATTTATTAGACAAAAAATAAAACAAGACAAGTATTTAAATGTATGAAGATCTCAACTTTTAAATTCCAGCTGACTTCCAATAACAATGTTTAAACATCATCCAATTCAATAGATAATAAAGACGTGCTTCTAAAAGGAATTAAAAAAGGCCTCCGCCCTATCGCCTTGTTGGCCTTTTTAAGGCTTAGCAAAGAAATCCACCGTCTCTTAATATTGTATTCAGAAGTCTCGCTAAGAATTCGTTTAGGTTTATTAAAATTCAATGTAACAGTTTTAATTAGAATCTGTTCAATGAATAGATCTTTAATTGAGGAAGACAAATGAGTCATTTAGTTTTAAACTCTTTTACGTATCTAATCTTTTATTACTTTTGTATGAGTGTTGATTATTGACATAGAGTTCAAATTTGTTTGTACACGTATCTTAGTTACAAGGGAATCAAGTTTAATTAGTTATGTTATAATAAATTTCAGTGTCGACTGGAAAGTTCATATCCAAAAATAGATCACCCGTCTACCCGGTGTTCCCTAAAGAGGTGAATTTAGTAAATCGATAAAACTGTCTAGTGTTTAGGTATGTGTTTACTTATGAAAGCAATCATACATACTTATTAGGGTTGGCAGAGTATATAATATTTTTGTTAGAGATATACAATATTTCAGTCAGATTGGCAGGTCATATGTTATATGGTCCGCGGTGTATCATTTACACCGCGGTCCTAGCTGGGACAGAAGGACCGGGGTAGGTTTTAGTCAGCAAAAGACTGATAGAAAAGATATACAATATTTTGAAAAGAAAATAAAGCAGAGAGGCCCAATAAAGCCTACAGATTACCCGATAGTAATTAAGTAGCGCACGCGACACGCACGCATCCGCGTCACTATAATACTAAAGATGTCGTTGACGCAGTTTTGTATATTATTTTAGTTATTACAAACATACAAAAACCATTCATATTTTTTAATTTTCTACAATATACAAACATCTTAAGCGTCCGTTTTCGTTTCAACTGCCAACCGTACTGAAACGATGTACGAACTTTCACTATTACGTATTATGATTACGACAGCAGGTACTATTATTGAGTGACCGGTATTAGGCGGCGTGACGTCACAAACAAGCAACCACGTGTTGCGGTTCACTGTTATTGTCAAACAACTTGCTTAGTAAATGTTTACCTACCTACAAATCGTTGGAGTCACTTACAATAGAAAAGAGAAGGAAATGCTGTTATTTAACAAAGTCACTAAGTCCAATGGCTATCTTGCTGGTGTATCTAAAGTTTGGGATTCATGCTTTTGCATGGACGAGGCTTCTGGATCGGAGGACATAAAATCGTCTACAAGAAACATGGCGTGAAACATCGCTTGCATCGTGTTTCAACGTATATAAGATAATAAGCCATAATACTCCAATCCTCCAATGCCGGCAACGCACTAACTCATCTTGCATCTATGAGCAGCGTGCAGAACACCAAAAACGCCACATAGAAATGTGTTTAAAATAAAATTAAATATTGCCCAACTTAATAAATAAGGTTTTTGGGTAAATTTTATGCCAACATGCGACGTTGCTTAAAATACCTAAAGTTTACAATAAAATACTGCTACATTATGATTTAAATATTAATATTGTAGGTATGATCTTTTCACGTAACATTTGCACATAATTGCTACATTTAGTCACTAAGCATTCAATTAGTATGCAAATAGCATTTCAAGCAAATAACACAATTTGAATAAACGCAATTCTTTTTTAATTTAATATGAAAAAAAATCACAACAATGATTATAACTTAAATAAAATAAAATTAAAGTAGTACCTAATTTAAAAATTGAATTATTATCATTGCTCGTCCCGCTTTAATAATAAAAGCTACTAGAAGTTCGCATAAACGGGACCGTAGTATTTTATTCTTTATACATTTTCGCAGTACAGATTTTTATGACGATTAACAAAATAATAATTAGGTTATTATTACCTACGTTTTTCTATTCGAAATTTCTTCACGTTTGCCTTACTATTATGAAGGGATAGTAATCGGACTAGGCGGCTTCCATCTCGTGCTAATAGTTAATAATTTAAATTTGACTGCGACAATTTGATACTTTTTAGCAAAAGGCAAACTGAGATGAGTTATTTCATTAAATTTCAGCAAGTCATGTTTTTTTTAATATTAATAGAGCACTTAAAAATACATTACAGAATTTCATCCAAAACATTTAATTTCCTGAGTACCCAGTTAAAATAAAATCATAGAAGCCCAAATTATTCACGTTATATTAAAAGTTGGCTATTGCCAATTTTCCCTTGCAATAAAAAATGAAATGCGGAGAGAAGAAAATCATTTCAGTGTATGGCGAGCGCCGGCTGCATCGGACAGGCGAGACATCCGACCTATCTGCTCATGAAAGTGTTATTGAATTCCGTTCGTCTTGCGACATTCGAATAAGCTAGAACAGGATGCTTCCAATTCGTAACTTTCCATATATTTTCGTACCAACATACAGACAATATGAAAATAACACGTAACATTGCTTATTATCCAAGCAAAGCGACAGAAGTTTAGTTATTTAATATTTTTTCATAAGAACATTGTGGGATTTAGTGGCAAAATATAAGTAATATAGTACATCAATTTTGGTTTAATTCCTCTTAAATTTATAAATAATGAAAAAACAAAAAAAATACGTCCTATCTTCTTATCTCTCCTCTTATTCATTCCCTTTCACTCTTCATCGTTTATAGTAGTTCATACATTTCTTCCTGCTCATTCGTACGTTCCCTTTCACTCAATATTCACTCCACACTTGGCCATCCTGCGCAATGTCTGTCCTCAGACATACGGTTTACACATTTCATACAATCATCATACGCTTTATATCAGAATCACACTACAAACACTCTACTCAACTTACAATTTTTAAGTTAAACTAAGTAACAGAAACTTTCTTTAATTGCAAACTTAAATAACCCAATTTCAAAACTCAAAACATTGACATCTTACTACTATATTTATATATCCAATGATACAAAACATACAAAACAACTAAAGCGTTATAAGATATAGACGATATAAGTATCTAATATCCGTCGTTTTGACTGAGGTATCTGAGTTATGTTTTCGGCCTTCATACCATCAAATAGACATATTTTTTTCACATAAATTCTTCCCTAGATCACGCGACACGATAGTTGTTCCGAACATAACTTCTACGAGTAATATTTTTCACACATGACTGGTTTTGATATACATTCCCTTTGTTGCAGATTCGTTTACTCATCAAAAAATGAACAAGTCACACAAATGGGACTTCCTAGTAAAGATTTCCAGCAGGAGGTAATTTATACGTTTCACTACTCCATGTACCCTTTACCCTACCCGTTGCGATAAGAAAGTATCGCCAATACATTTCCATTACGCATTAAAAGGGTTATTTATTGTTACAGAAAATTGGAGTATGAAAGGATGACTACAGGAAACACGCCCGTTTCGCTCAAAAAGAATTACCGACGAATGCTTGCTAAATGTTTTGAACGATTTTCGCGACTCACGGTCTTTCCCAACAGTACCACGTGAAATGTAGCCAAAGTATCCAAGATAACTTCTTCAATATGGGGCAAACAGCTACACACGTAAACTCAAATTACACATTAATTAATTATACTGATGAAATAATTGAAGATGACAGAGATGCTTGTGCCGTCGCAGATGACCCTAAATATCCGAGTAGTTTTGGGATAACACTAGCGGTACCAGAATGGGAGGCAATTTGTACAGCTATAGTTCTAACGCTAATAATAATCTCAACGATAGTAGGCAATATTCTGGTGATCTTGAGTGTATTTACATACAAACCTCTTAGGATTGTTCAGAACTTCTTCATAGTATCACTTGCCGTTGCGGATTTGACAGTAGCAATATTAGTATTGCCACTGAATGTAGCATATTCCATTCTAGGACAATGGGTTTTTGGGATTTACGTATGCAAAATGTGGTTAACATGCGACATAATGTGCTGCACTTCGTCCATTTTAAATTTATGTGCAATCGCATTAGACAGATACTGGGCGATAACTGATCCTATAAATTACGCTCAAAAGCGAACTTTAGAAAGAGTGATGTTAATGATCGGAGTAGTTTGGGTGCTTTCATTAGTTATTAGCTCCCCACCGCTCCTAGGGTGGAATGATTGGCCCGACGTGTTCGAACCCGACACACCTTGTCGTTTAACTTCTCAACCAGGCTTTGTTATCTTCTCTTCATCTGGGTCCTTTTACATACCGCTAGTTATAATGACTGTAGTTTATTTTGAAATATATTTGGCCACTAAAAAAAGACTAAGAGACCGCGCTAAGGCGACTAAGATCAGCACTATTTCTAGTGGTCAGAACAGGTACAATAATAAAGACGATAACAATGATCAAGATTCTGTCAGCTCAGAAGCCAATCACAATGAGCACCAAGGCGTGACACGGTTGGTCTCAGACAATGAGAAGAAAAAAAGAACCAGAAAACTGACACCAAAGAAAAAACCAAAGCGACGATATTGGAGTAAAGATGATAAATCACAAAATAAACTGATAATTCCGATTCTCTCTAATGAGAATTCGGTTACTGATATGGGTGATAATTTAGAAAATAGAAACACATCATCAGAGAGTAACTCAAAAGAGACTCACGAAGATGATTTGATTGAAGTGACTGAGCCTGCGCCAGTGAAAAGTCACAAGAGGCCGAAACCTAACCAGCAAAGTGCTGTTTATCAATTCATTGAAGAGAAGCAACGGATTTCTTTGACACGTGAACGCCGCGCTGCCAGAACTCTTGGGATTATAATGGGCGTATTCGTCGTGTGTTGGTTGCCCTTCTTTGTTATTTACCTTGTTATTCCCTTCTGTGCAAGTTGTTGTTTGTCCAACAAGTTTATCAATTTCATAACTTGGCTTGGCTACTGTAATTCTGCACTTAACCCTTTAATATACACCATTTTTAACATGGACTTTAGGAGAGCATTCAAAAAGTTACTCTGTATGAAACCGTGATCGTGCCAAAGAAAGTGTAGATTTTTATGCTTATAATCAATGACGCTGATTTGCTCAAATGTTTTAACTCATTCGTAAGTAGAATATTAGAATGATCTAATATAATGGAAATTTTAATATAAAGATTGTAATAATAAGATTATGAATCTCAGTGTGTATTAATTGTATACAAACGATATTACATAAATAGTCTCTGTATTATCTTTCAACTATTGTAGAGTAGTATTGTGTAAATACTTAAACTTTGGATAGTGCATAGCACTTTTAGATTTCTACATGTGTGTAAATATGTTTTGTGAATTGACCGAATTTGGACGAATCATTGATAACCAACGAATACTTTCAAATTAATTATATAATCTTAATATATTGTACATACATATCTTGGTCCGTTTGTATATAAGTAAGTATTTGTAAATTTAAATATCTTTAACTGTTCATACATAAATAAATATTTAATTTAGTAGGACTAAAGTTAAGCAGTTTATTCAGTCGTTAGAGTGATTGTTTTCACAATGTATATCCCTTTGAAATAATTTGAGCCCATATTTAAAGGGGATATTAGACTTGCAACAGTTTAATTGGTTTAATCCTGGATTGTAATAAAAGTTTAAAAAATAATATTGAGTTTCATTATACTTTACAATACTTTTTTATGTTTTACGACTAGACTGACTGACTAGAAAAAAAGTAAGACACCGTTTCATGATGGTGGTCAGCTGATCTAAATAAATGGTTCAATTACCGCAATTTCAATAAAATCATATTACTTAGTTTGTGGTGGTCTAAAGGGTTAACGCACCCGCTTTGGCCTCGTGAGGTTTCGATACCTGCCAAGAAACAAACTGACTTTTTCCCAGTTAAAATATGTAACTTTTAAGATTTTTATTTAGAGAGATAGAGAAGAAAAATATCGTGAAGAAATGAAATGAAATCAAAATCACAAATCTTCCAAACGCAGGCGTGGTGATTAATTCTCAAACTTCAAGGCCTCTTCTCACGCTCTCTGCATGAGAAGAGCTCTAGCTCAACAGCTGATACTTATAGGCTGACGAAGATGTTGATGATGCTGATGATGGTGATGTATAACATACAAATAATAATAGAACAGTATATATAGCGTTATGTCACGCCTTATATTTATGGAAGATATAGGCAGAATTACTTTTCAGTATCGGACTTTTTATGTTATGAGCCCCTTATTATAAAAACCCAACAGCCAGTGAAAATGCCAGACATTTAAAAATCTACAATTATATCTCAAACAAATGGTAAGCAATCAGCGCCGCCCATGGACACCCACAACAGCAGAGGTAGCAGGCAGAGGAGCAAACCTTTTGGGGATTAGGGTTTTGGAGATCTAGAGATTAGGGAGGGGAAGAATTTTGACCTCTGGTAAACTCATTCACGCGGCGAAACACAACTCTGTACTTGTTTCAAGCTAGCCCTTTCGTGCCAAAATATAGTTTATCAAGTCACAAGAATTATTATTAGTACTTTTACTAAATGTATTGTGTTTTCAATCTTCTACCAGGATTATATAAAGACAAAAACCGAATCTATCAAACCTAAATATCATATAATAACTCATCTACCAAAATCAATTTGAAACATATCAAGATTAGACTTTGATATATTTCCCGATATCGTTGTCATTGAATCAATCGAGAAGCTCTAAAAATAATCGATTTCAATCTTCGAAACTGGTACCAACTCACCGTAGGACATAAAAAGCTGTAGGTACATAGAAAAAACGCTCTTAGTACTACGTTTTTACGGTATATTTTCAAATGGAGAGTGAACTTAGGATCTCTAATATGGCAAAAGGAATAATGTGGAAGTGAACACAATAAATACTCATTTCCTACATTTGGAAGAGCTTCTTCTAATAGTATTATCAGGTTTCTTAATATTTTGGACACTGTTTTCTTTGAGATGCTATATTTAGTTGGTTATAAATAACGATCAATAATTTCATATTTCGTTTTTTTATGTGATAGGTCGGCAAACGAGCAGACGCATTACCTAATGGTAAGCAATCGACGCTGCCCATTAACACCCGCAATAACGGTGGAGTTATGGGTGGGATGCCGACCTTATAGGAATGAGGGTTTTGGAGATTTAGGGATTGGGAAAGGATTTGAAGGAAGAAAAACGTGGGGCCTCCGGTAACCTCACTGACACGGCGAACTACAATGCTATGGTGGTTTCATGCCGATTTTCTGTGCTGTCGTGGTGTATAATCACTCCGGTCGAGCCGACCCATTCGTGCCGAAGCATGGCCCTCCCTCACTTAAATATAAAAAATATGTTAACATCTCTACTGATTTTTTATTTTCATAGCTACACTTACTGTACAATCAACGACAAAAGAGTCGTCATTCACCTACTCCTTAATTTTAAGTGAAATATTTTGCTTTCCCTAAAAATTAACCATTCTGTAACTGACCTAAAAATCAGTCATTTCAAACAGTAAAAAATAATATGAACGAATAAACAATATGAAGAATCATCATCATCATCATATCAGCCACAGGACGTCCACTGCTGAACATAGGCCTCCCCCATTGACTTCCAGATAGGCCGGTTGGAAGCGACCTGCATCCAGCGGCTTCCTGCGACCTTAATCAGGTCGTCTGTCCACCTTGCGGGTGGACGTCCTACGCTACGCTTGCCGGTACGTGGCCTCCACTCGAGAACCTTTCTGCCCTAGCGGCCGTCGGTTCTACGCGCTATGTGCCTGCCCATTGCCACTTCAACTTACTAATCGGCTGGGCTATGTCGGAAACCTTTGTTCGTTTGCGTACATCCTCGTTTTTTATACGGTCTCGCAAAGAAACTCCGAGCATAGCCCTTTCCATAGCGCGCTGAGCGACCTTGAGCTTCTTTATAAGGCCCACAGTAAGAGACCACGTTTCAGTTCCATAGATCATCGCTGGTAACACACATTGATTATAGACTTTCGCCTTAAGGCACTGAGGTAAGTTGGTCGAGAAGATGTTGCGTAGTTTCCCGAACGCTGCCCATCCAAGTTGGATTCGACGATTGACCTCCTTCTCGAAATTGGACCTACCTAGCTGGATCACTTGTCCCAGGTATACATATTCGTCAACAATTTCGAGGTTAGAACTCCCAACTGATATCGGATAGGGCGTGACATGGGCGTTTGCCATGACTTTCGTCTTGTCCATGTTCATTCGGAGCCCTACCTGTTGAGAAACTCTACAGAGGTCATCGAGCATTGTGCTCAGATCCTCCAGCGATTCTGCCATGACCACAATGTCGTCGGCAAACCGGAGGTGAGTGATGTACTCACATACACACTATATGAAGAATAATATGAAAAAATAAATTATATACAAAATAAAATAACAAAATAACTTTGTTTTTGCTAATTTAACAAAATAAATGAAAGAATTCTTATTGATGTTCATGCATATAACCTTTTTCGTTTATTCGGTAACATCTGTCAGAAATATTTAACCTATGTTTATGATTATTCCCGTACAAGTAATAAATATGGTCTTTATTAAATTTCACCCTGCTTATAAATTGACCAGAAATTGTAAGCAATTCTGTTTTCAACAAAGGGTAGCGTGAAAACGAAAAGCAAGAATTTTTTCTCTCAAACAAGTTATACGTTCATTTAAAGTCAACGTGTCATCACATTTATTTGATAGCTAACAGCTACTGTCTCTTAAAATCAGACCGCCTATTGGCTTTGAATTAACGACCTGATTAAATATGTCTGAGAACTACTTTGTACCATAATATTATTTTCTTGTTTTTTATGGTGTAGGTCGCCAAACGAGTAGGTACGGATTACCTGATTGTAAGCAATCAGCGCCGCACATGGACACCCGCAACACCAAAGGAGTTATAAGTGCGTTGCCGGTCATTTGGGGCAGGGTTTGGGATATTTAAGGATTGGGAAGGGATAGGAGTGGAAAAGGGTATGGGCCTCCGGTAACTTCACTGACACGGAGTAACACAACGCTGTGTTATTTCAAGCCGGTTTTCTGTAAGGCCGTGATATCACTTCGGTCGAGCCGACCCACTCGTGCCGAAGCTTGGCACTCCCACATTTTGTTTATCGTTTAGTTTATTGAGAACTTATATGAAGGTGGTGAATCATGGACTACGGTTGAGAGAGATTCATATGTGAATGGGCCGTAGTTTGCAGTGAGTTCGCATATAAATCGAAATGATCGATCAATTAATGGGCATGTGTGTCGTGATTGTGTAAGAGACATTCTCGAGAGTGGTGATCGATGATCTCCGGCCACCGTAAGCGTCGGTCTGTAAACAGCGAGCAAAGGCTCGCCATGCATGAAGTACCAAGCCCAGATATGGACAGCGAAGCCTTTAAAAATTTTACACATCAAAAAGGAAGCTACTATCAAAAATCACCAAAGATAAATAACAAAGGTATTCTTCAGATTCAAAACAACACAAAATTACTTTGAAAACTAGCTGGAACACTCGACATTGTCTTGAAAACTCGTATTGTATCCACAAAGTGGTTCGTTAAGTAAATACCTACTTTGAGCTGCAGCTGGGTTCACTAACTGTATAATTTTCTTCCTTCATTAGCCCGTTGTATACCAATAAACTTCTGTCTTAACGTAGACCAAAATCTATTTAAAGGTTCCTTGAATTTTTCTTGTTTTTTTTTAAACAGTTCTTTTTAAGTGGCAACGCATCAAATGAGCTATCGGATTACATTAAAATAAGCAATCCGCGCCGCAAATGGACACCCGCAATGCCAAAGGAGTTACAAGTGCTTGGGGAGAGGGAAGGGATTGGGCCCACGGTAAACTCATTACGGCGAAACACAACGCTGTAGTTGTTGCATGCCGGTTTTCTGACGTGATATCACTCCAATTATGTCAACCAAATTATGGAGCCAAATCAAAGCTCCCCTACACTTAAAATTTTCTATAAACATGGTACTTTTACGTTTAGGAATTTTGACAAAAATGTATAGATATTTAAAGTAAAAAATCTCCACGAGTACCTTATATAATAAAAGTGGAAAAGTGGGTATTGTATTTAGCATGTCGCTTTAGGTAATAATTCCGTGCATATTTTATGAATTTTAATTTATGTTGAAAGATTTTTACCTTTTAAAATGATTCCTAATAATTATTAAACTTTGACATGCGTCCAAATACTTTTAATCCAACAAGCAATGAACATCAAGAAGACCTTAAGAAGAAGTAACAAAAACAATCTTCAGATACCATTAAATTTGAGAACACAAAACCTCAACAGCACTAATGGCGGAACGGACCGCATCAATAAGGGTGTCATCTACAAAGATAAAAAATAAAGAGAAAAGAAACCATTGCATTAAACTGTTGAGGATAAAACACGCTGTTCGCTGGTAAGTAAGGATGATAGCGAGGCTTATCTTTTTTATTTTGGATATTTTTTCTCGTCACAATATTTTGATGGGAGGTCGGAAGTGATTTTGTTAAAAGACTTTAAGTGTAGAAGAATTTTGTACTGCTTTAGAGATTTTAATGTCTGCACTTTACTCTCTAGTAATTACTTGCTATTTGAATAATGTGTTTTGAGAAAGATGATGAATGTATGTATTTATACTAACTATCGTGAGACGTACTAAATTAAGTAAAAAACGCGGGTTACTCGCGTTTGTAATTGAGAAAAGCTCTACTAGTTAGACGCGATGTCGTGTCGCCGCGTCCGCGCACGCTGCTCATGAGGAAGAACCCCTCTGTGGTTCGAAACTAGTAGAGCTTTTCTCAATATATACATGTGAGTAACCTGCGATTTTTAGTTAATTATGATTGTAATGCACAGTTGTTCTGCACCTTCAACAAAGTGTTGTTGGATACTGATATTCAAAATGTTTAAGCTACAATTCTGGGTTTAAAAATATTATCTCATATATGGTAAGTATATTGTAAAATGCCGTGATGGCCTGAAGATTAACGAAACCGCTTTAAATGCATGAATAAAGCGTTTCGAAGTCTGTCAAGTACCAATATGACATTTTGAGAGTTGTGTATTTTTAAGTTGATATAACCGACAAACGGTGAATCGAAACATAGTAAGGAACCTATAAAACTTAGTAAGTAAGGACTTACAATTTCTTTAAATATAGAACCGATAAGAATGGCGATATTATTGCTCAAATCTTTTAACTGCGTGAAGAGAAGCGCTAAATATTTTCAATCGTTACACATATAAAATAAAAGTCGGTATTAAGCGGAGAGTGACCGCCATCAATCCTTCCCAAATCATAACTACCCATATTATTTATTAAATCCATATTCAGCATTAATCCTTATTAAATTTTAATTTAAAAAGCAAAGAAAAAAATTACGAATTATAATTATTTTCCTAATATCTGTAATAATTACTTGTCATGCAAAAGACAACTATTTAGTACGATGGGATAGGATATAAATTGCTTTGCTAATCTATGCGTGCAGAATAATTGGTCCGTGATAACATTCTCATTTTGAACTATCGTAATTGGCCATCAGTTCGTTTGTTGAAACGTTAAATTCTGATCCTTTGCCGTTCGGTAACGCAATCAACGTCGATTAAAGTTGAAATTCAAATTGTCTATCGAAATACATCTATTCCTGTATTTATTTTATGTTTTGGTTTTAAATTGTTATGTAACTTGTAAACGATTCGTATTGTATGTGATGTTCAAAATATTGTTCATAAGTTCAATTCCATGATTTGTATGAACGATTTTTTTATTGTTATAAGCCTTAAAGCTTAGGGTTTATACAAATTGAAACAATATTTAAAAAGTATCGTTTATTAGGAACGATTATTTTTACATTTTAGTAAGCCTTAAACTCCAACGAAAAACAAAGAATATCTTAAAAAATCCATAACAAATACCGAATATGCTTCTATGTGTTACACAGCTGGTAAATTTAAATCAGGTTGTGATCTTTCTTGATAATATCGGCGGCCTTTTCTGCGATCATGTAGACTGTACCCATGGGATTTCCTCTAGTGATTGTTGGCATCACACTAGCGTCAGCTACACGCAGACCTTTCACGCCATGAACTCGTAATTTTCCATCGACGACCGTGCCCATTGGACATGTGCTGGTCATATGACTCAACCCAGAAGATACACACATCACGTAACAACGCCAATACTCTCGAGTATCTTTGCCGAATTCATTACAAGCAGGATCTGCATCAGACATTATGGCGTCGACTTCCCTATAGTAAGTCGTGTTCATGATTGGTAGATAATCAAAAATGTAATCAACTAGAGCCTCAACGTCGTCTTTGTTCGAAAAGAAGCCATTGTAAACAAGAGGAGCTTCTTCTGGATCGGTACTTTTCAACAATACCTTGCCTCGTGACTTCGGCGCTATGTTTAATATCTCATTGAACGCTTGAAGACGATCTATGCCTTGTTTATACATGTTGTTACAAATTTCATCACTGAATCTGAAAGCGAATGTGCAATAGTACAACATAATTTCCGCAGAACCCAAGTAAGTGATTACTTGGTAATCAGGGTAGTTGGACGATTTGTTTAGAGCAACAAAACCAGTGAATGAAGAACCAGGTAATTCATAAGGACTAGGTTGCGGAAAAGGTTCGGTCAACTTGTCCAAATTGTGTATAATAACTACACAAATGTGTTCTTGCAGATTTTCTCCTACGGGTAAGTTTGAAATTACTTCAATATTTTTGCTCTTCAAGTGTTCCTCGGGTCCGACACCAGATAACATCAATAGTTTAGGTGAGTTGAATGTTCCAGCAGACACGATCACTTCTTTTTTAGCCTTCAAATTCATCTTTTTACCGTCTTCTGTCAGAACTTCTACTCCTACGGCCTTTTTGTTTTCGTCGAACAAGATTTTAGTGGCTAAGGTATTCTTCAAGACATGGAGGTTACGGCGATCTTTCACTGATGACAAAAACGCATATGCTGAGCTCTGTCGAGACCGTCCCGAGATAGTGACGGTCTGTGCAGAATAGCCCAAAGGATGATGTTCGTTAAAATCTAAGACTATATCGTTTCCAACTTCTCTGTATGCATCTAAGAATTTCTCAATCTCTTTGCGATGGTCTCTGTTTATTCCAATGTAACCGTTAGTTCCATAGTATTCTTTGTCTCTTGAGGCTAATAATTGGGGATCTTCTAATCTTCCAGTTTTCAAGAAATATGGAAGCACATTCTGCCATTTCCATGATTCATCTTTGACGACGTCAGCCCAAGAGTCAAAGTCACTTGGTTGTCCTCTGTGGTAAATCATGTAATTGAGAGAGCTAGTTCCACCAAGCATTTTTCCAAGAGTGAATTCGTAGTAAGATTGAAGATGACAAACGTCCTTGTAGGCGTCGTACTCAGCAGTGTAGTTCCAGTCATAGCGAGACCTCTTCATCAAAAGCGGCAAACCGGGAAGCTAAAATAAGTAAAAATAGATGTATAAATTATGTTCAAAATTATGTTTATTTGTTCATTTTTGTTTGACGTCTGTATTAACTAGAAACACTTTCGCTAGAACTTTTTCGTCTGACGTTCATAAAATGTAATATAATTTTCACTTTTTTTTGTTAAATAGAAGAAGACGAATGAGCATACGGATCGAGACCTTTTAAGAAGGACTACGATTACTCGCATTTCGATTTAAAATAATAACAATTATAAGTCTACATATTTACATCAGACTCAAAAGGCGGATCTCCACCAGCCTCGATGAGCAACACGTTGACATGCTCGATTTCTGACAATCTGTTGGCTATCAAACTTCCAGCCGTTCCCGCGCCGACAACGATGAAGTCAAAACTTTGGCCATCTGTAACAAGATGTACATAAAGCAAACTCCAAATTAACACAGACACATGTGTGTGCACATGGGTGAAATCATTACGTTCGAATAGATTTTTTTAAATGACCTCTTTCATACACACATCCAAATAACTAATTACGGTAGGTAATTAGTTAGTTTTGTTTTATTTAACAGCAGTGTTGCGGTACGTTAAACTTTAACTTATTAATTCCAAATTGAAGTAAAAATCGCCAAGCGTTGTGATTTATGCGTATTATTATTCCGTACGCCATGCAACATCAGTAGGTAAGTTACCAATTCATGATGGTCCAATCAAATAAAGTCAAAATCAAAGGCAAAAAAAAATTATTCCAACTTCACCACAAATAGGTACTTTTGAAACGTCAAAATAAAATAGTAATACTCTGTCAGTCTTTTCGCCAGTGAAACTAGTTGCGCGTTTCAAATTCGAATGGACTTGACAAAGTAGATTCGAATGGATAAGAACGAGCAAGAAAGGACATTGTTACTTTAAAAAAAATACAATTTTACGAAAACATTATTTATATAACGCGATAATCCCTTACCGTGTACATGAGCTTGGTGTGGCCACAGGTAGTTGGTGAGATGCAAGGCTGCCAATATCCTAAAGGCCCCTTGGAGCACCTGTATGATCTTGAAACTCCCTGCGGCGTCCATGGCTCTGTAGACATAATGTGAATTTGAATTTAATTTTACAAAATCGAATCGAAACGATTTTTATTATAAACAAAAATTTAAACGAGAAACGATTTCGATCGAGACATCTTATCTATCTTAAGAGAGATTTTTATATTTGATTCCTATCTAAATTATTACAATTATAATAAAACAAACAAATGTTTGCCTTTAAATAAACCAAATAAAAATGCTTAAAAGAATGCAAATTAAAGAAGAAAGACGAAGCATTTTTGCTTTTATGATAGTTGTGTTTACAAACATACATATTCACAAAAAAATGTGGAAAGTACAAATTTTGTGTTCCGTGCGGATATCGAACATGTTACACAGGAACCAGATCATAAGCCAGTACGCAAGCCGTGCAGTCGGCGCCATCAGATGCATTATACCATCAACGAGCGCAGTCATAAGACCCATATGATTGCTCTTTGCTCCAAATGCATCATAAGAGTTCAGATAACAGAGATATTTGTGAAGTCTCGCTTTTGTATTTATAAAAATCCTAAATCTATAAATAAAGTCTTCTGCAAATTTGAACTTTGCGCTCACGAAACAATAAAACGTGGTCATGCAAACTCCTTTTTTGTAAATAAGTACGTCTCTCCAGTCGGGCTGAAGGAACAGAAGGGGCTCCATAAGGATTTTCCACTGTCAGAATTCAACTGACTAAAAACCACCTTGGTGTCCCGTCTCTCACGTGGGCGTGACGGCACGGGAATTAAATTCATCCGCAGCGTTATGCAAACATACAATTTCACATACACATGACACCCAGACCCGGAACAACAATTTGTGGAACACACAAACAGTTGTTCCTTGGGGGAATTGAACCCGCGACACGTTGCATGGCAGCCAGTTGCCTAGCCACCGCACCAACCGCGCAGTGCGTTGTTTCACACCAATTCTATGATTTTTCCTAGTAGATGCCTTACTCTTACAATATCAAACAAAACATAAAAGTATCACTCAATTTAGTAAAACATTTTGGAAGTAATACATTTCGGTGATTCATTTTTATTAGCATAAATATATTTGCACATTATTCAATTAATGCCACAACATTTAGATTGTTTATATGATTAATGATTAAACTTGATAAAATTTTAATTGTATAATCATTAGATAAAATAATGTTTATTTAAACAGGTAATTAGTATGTTAATTGTACTAATACAAAGCAAACAATAGTTAGAATTTATGAAATATAGTAAAAAAATACTTATGAAAACATATTATGTTAATTACATAGAATGACGTCATAAGTAGTTCTGGCAATTATTTAATAAGTTTATTATAATTATATTTTAGATATTCAAATACTTATAATGTATTTATCCATTAATGTAGTTAGTTTTAGACTTTAGTTTATCAGTAATCATATTTTAAAGGAAACTGTGCTGCAACTAAAGATTTTCATAAACATACATTAATTTAAGGGCGGCTTGCGCATCGTCGTTAAATACAGTTTAAGAGCGACGTAAACGCGTTTAGTCTGCTAATTATATTTAGCGTCTTGCACAACAAAAATTTAGGCACTAATCACGTTTAACGAACTGTCAAAGTTAAATACCCAAAGATGGCTATTTAGCGTCGCTAAATACGTTTAGTAGCAATCGCGCGTCATCATTTTGAGGTTAAAGAAATTTTACTATTATTTTAAGATTTTAAAGAGTTCGGTAGGAAGTTTGTAAGATGGATTTGTGGGAATTGTATTCTGACGACGATGAGGAGATTATAGAATATATCAACAATAGCACAAGACGCTTCACTACCAGCTCGGTTGACTTGATGTGACAATTGAAAGCTCGTCGGTCCATTTCACGAATTTTTTTTTTAAGAAATGCATCCATTTTGCTCTAAGTCAAGTGTACAACGCACGAAAACGTTAAAAGGAACGCAAGTAACTGCTTTACCGACTCCCTAACTACGATTAGTTAAATTACTATCCAAACGGACGTGAGCAAGACCTTTTTAATTGTATTTAGGCTAAACATATTTAGCAAGATAAACGCATTTAACTAAATTCTGTTTAGACCACATGTTGCGCAAGCCGCCCTTAGTGTTGAAAAGCCATCGGTACGAATATGGTGTCAGGATCGCAGTGAGCCTCAAAGAACATCGAAGGGAAACACTAGCGTTAAGTTTCGCTGTATGAGAGGAGTTATAAAAAACCCAATTCCCCATGACTAATCCAAATCATTCTTCAAACAACCCCAAGATCTAGAAAGTGCACTAGCATTTTGCTCTGCATTTTGAGTATCCATGGACTGGGCCGATGTCTTACGATCGTAGGCCTATCTCGGATAAGGATTTTCAAAAACCATGAAATTAAATAATCAATAAAAATTATTACGGTCTAGCTTCTCCTACCTTCTCTTGCCCAGGAAGAAGCGTGAGGGAGAACTTCAGACTCTTACTAACTGAAAGGTGAGGACAATATGGCGTCTCTCAAGCTCCGCTCCTCAAAGAAGGGTCTTACCGCTGCTATAACAGCGTGCCTGATTATACCCTACCTGAGCGGTATGCTCTCGCGCCCGGCCTTAGTCGAGGCCATGGTGCGGAGTGAGAGGAACTGGGACGCCGTCTCCCCCTTTTGTGAAGCAGTCATGCTCGCAAAGAGAGAGGCGGCCCGCGTGAGGGAGCAATCCTCCTCCTCATGCCCCAGCAGCCGCAACTGGCGACACTACGGGCGTCGGGGCATAGAGCAGGAGAAGAAACAGGGTTTTAGTCAGTAAGAGTCTGACACTCCCTCCTGCCCGGCCCTGGGCGGGAGAAGTCATTTGATGATTTTCCCCTCACAAAAAAAAAAAAAAAAAAACAACTCACTACAAAACTTACAACTACATGCATGACCAATTCAATTCGCATGTTTAACAATTTTATTTTAAAATGAAATCTTTGTTATTTCTTTTAAAATTAATCAAAAAGATAATAAAAGTTTTATATACATTATTCATATTTTATGAATCAGATGACTGTTTATAAATGGACTTCATATCAAATTCTCATAAAATGGAAAACGTGACATTAGAATCGTTTATCAAGAAATAGTCTATTGTTAATGGTCAACGGTGCATACTCGGTTCATAAATAGTGCACTTTATTTACAATCATTTTTATAAAACAGGTGTAAATAATGTATGCTTTTTATTATCAAGTTCAAGTTCAGAGTTTATTTTTTCATTTAGGATATGTAATGGAAATGCTATGCTTCATTAAAAACATCATAAGCAGTTGACAGTCGAGTAATAAAGCGAACAAGACCTGTAGAGTGTATAATTTAATTACGACTGAAAAATATCCGCATAGTGCTTTATAAAAGAGTTTAGTAAAGCGTTTCTTAATACACATGATGTTTTTGTAAAATCTGGCTGCAAACTAGCCAGCTGGCCATATGACGGTAAGCACCCGGCGTCGTGGGCGTATACAATATCAAAGTAGTTAGCAGTGAGTGGCCGACGTTTTGATTTGCCGGCTTTCAAAGTTACCGATTTAAAAATTGGGTACTAAAAGATTGATTTAGTGATTAGAAGAGGGTCTTCTGTAACTTCACTAATAGTACGTGAAACACAACTCAATGGTTTTTTTTTCCAGCTGAGGTTTCAGCGACAAGCCATCCAGGCTTGCGGGTTTTTTTTGTGAGGGGAAAATCATCAAATGACTTCTCCCGCCCAGGGCCGGGCGGGAGGGAGTGTCAGACTCTTACTGACTAAAAACCCCCTGTTCCTTTTCCTGCTCCGGGCCGCGGTCGCGGTGCCTCATTGCGCTTATCCCGCAAACTCGGCTGAACATCAGCTCTATAGGGCCCCGTCTGTGGTGGTCTATTGACTCTTTGAGGCGCACGCGGAGCGCTACGCGCCGTACGCTTGGGTCTGTTCCTTGTCGGGCGGAGAGCTGCCCTTACTCGCCGACCGCAGACCCGCGCTTACGGTGGCCGGCGATCGTCCCTTGATCTCCAACGCCCGTAGTATCGCCTATTGCGGCGGCTGGGAGGCTTGCGGGTGCTATCGCAATAAGTACCGCGGACCCAACAGGAGAAGCCCCGTATCGAAGCAGGAGAAGGAATGAGGTAGTTTTTTGTTAGTAAGAGTCTGACACACCCACGTAGCCCCACTAAGGGCGGGAAGAAGTGATTTGATGATACCTCACAAAAAAGGGATGTTTCACACACGCGAAGTCACTCCAGACGAGCCGACACGTTGGACTTTTAACGCTTTATCGAAACACACTTAAACTCTAAATCGTGTTAAAGACACGCAATACTAAGACAATAGGTGCGCGAATGATTGCCAATTAATGTACCAAACCCCAAGCGAACGCTGGCGTTCGCACACCTATTATACAATATCTTCTATTGTGTTTCGAAATACCACAATTAAAAGCTTAAATTGCTGCTCCAAATATTAAAAACAGATTAAAACTTGCTAATGTTGTGTAAACAAAAGCAGACAGATGAGATATTAAATGTAGCGAAATTATTGAATTTAACTCAAAACTAACCTAGCAAAACTCAGGTTAAAAAGTAATTATAATTTTGTAATAAGTACACAGTAAAAAATATTTACATCGATTTTCATCACTCACACGAGGCAAATATTTTTTTTCCCGTTGACATCGATTCCGATGAAAGTTTCACACAAATTAAAAAGTTATTTACAGATTTTTATTTATTAGTCCAGCTTAACTGATATTTATTTTCAACTACCTAGTTGTGTTATAAAAAAAATCTTCATAGAAGTAGTGTCATAAATAAATGATCAAAAATAAACTTACATATTAATCACAGCCCAGTTAAAAGACGTCACACTTCCACAGCTCAAGTTAAAACAATAGCAACAGAATTACACACATCGACAAATATATAAAAGACGTTTAAGAAAAAAGACTAATTTGTAAATAAAATGACCTCAAATACATTAAATTTTAATGTGATAGAATCGTTTTAACAATTTTTATTTATTTTGGGGAAAATGAGGCAAATCGCACATTTAAAGTAAAATAAATCGTATAGATAGCAAAAACAGGTAACACATTTTTATAATATTAACTTTAGGTCACCACAGACTTTCGGCCGGATGCGGGTTATGCGCAATAATTCACCGCGGCCTCGGCCCAGAGCAGGAGAAGGAACGGGCGGGGTTTTTAGTCAGTAAGAGTCTGTCGCCTAGCCCTGGGCGGGAGAGGTCATTTGATGATTTTCCCCTGACAAAAAAAGGTCTCCACAGACTCATGGTTTGGGCCCCTGTCAAACAATGTTCATTATAATTAATATTTCTAACATGGAGGTGGGTAGTATATTGAAAACAGACTAGTTTCTGGCCGCTATTTCGGCCGAAGTAGAGTGTAAAAATGTAACCAACATATTCTGGACTATAATCTGCTGTCCTGTCCTGTAGTTTTAATATGAAACGTAACTAACATCCAACTTTGGTTACAAGTTATGACGTTTGATATGAAACGTAACTGACAGCCAACTTTGCTTACAAATTAATACGTTTGTAAAGCCGCAAAGCTTAAATGATTATATGTAGACTGTAATCTATTTGAGTGCCAAATTTCATTCAGATTGGGCGATTAGTTTTTACTTAAAAAAATCTATGCATTCTTACAAACTTTGGCGTTGTTTCTTGTTGAATTATTGAGCTTAGTTTCTGGTTCATATTAAGTATTATGGAAAAGGCGCTGTCGTAACGAACGTATGTATTTTTAAATAAAAATCCAAATCCAAATTAATATTATAAATGCGAAAGTAACACTGTCTGTCTGTCTGTCTTTTCTTCACGCCTCAACTACTGAACCTATTTATGAGAAATTTGGTATAGAAATAGTTTGGAAATCGAGAAAGGACATAGGACAGTTTTTTAACCAAAAATCTGCAGGAAGTCACCATTCCATGCGAACAAAGTCGCGGCAACAGCTTGTAATATCTAAATGTGGTGTCACAAAATTCTAACAATAAATTTATACAATTTACAGATAGGTATAGGCATTGGTTTTCAACCTGATGACAGCATAAAATATTTAATTTCAATTTGATTAATAAAATGATTATTGAAATTATTTGTCAATTTGTGAATACTTTGAGTAAATATAGGTATACTAAATATATTTTAGATTAGAGTTTATAAATAACGAATCGTTTAAAAATACACAAAGAAATGTTGAGCCAATTTTTTCCTAGGAACTGAACATGATGGTCGTTTGTTTTTTGGTTTAAATATTAATTATTTATGAACTAGATTGAGACATGAAATGTTATAAGAAAAGAATATTTATAGTATATATGCACCCATTATGCAGTTTTTATTACATTTTTATCGGTTTTACCTATACAAAGGTTAAATAACTACAACAATATTATTAATAACAAAATCAGTTCGAACATTCTTTAAGTAGTAAACAAGGATAGATAGTTAATTTTATTTGTTACTATATTTTACCCGCGGCTTTGCCCGCAGCGAATGAGCTAATAACCAATGCCCATCGTATCCCGAACTATATTTTAATAATATTAGGGAAGCACAGGATGCTATTTTTTTTAAGGCCCTAGTGGTTATAATTAGAAAACACTGGATTTTGAAAATTACATTTTCTTCTTGCAATGGGGAATGGGGAATCGATGTACCTTCAAAATCATTATATATAACTTTTCTTTAAGGAGGAAAGGTTTTTTCCTTTCTTTAAAAAAATGCATTGCACTCTAAGATTTTCACCTATGTCGTAGGCACGTTTACCAACATACAAATTCACAAAATGCACAAGCCAGCAACAATGTGTTGATCACACAGTGTTGCGTATGACAATCGAATCCGCGACACGTCGCATAGTAGCCAGCCCAACACCTGCGCGAATCGAGCAGTCTTATAAATATGGAAAACTCTGATAATGGAAAGATCTGAATCTATTATAGATTTGTATATATTTGATGATACAACAAACTATTTCTTAATAGCCGCTTCTCCCCTTTAAATTCTACAGAAAAGAACATCAGTAAAATGCTTTTCTCACATTTGTTTTGCATATTTTTTTAAATTCAATAACAATTCGTGTGAAATTGTGTTTGTGTTTAATACAATTTATAATTATAATATTTACTTATACATTTTGAAAAATTAAAACGTATAAATAATAATAAATACATCTGGATTTATCTTTTAAGATTAGCTAATGTTATGTAATATTTATCTAGACATAAATGTCACTTATTTTTACTACCGACTTATTTTATCTAAATTTTGCTGAAATATTTTTTCTAGTTTTTTTTTAGATTTCGTATTTAAAATAGCTATGAATTTTTATATCCTTTTCTTAACATCGTATTGTTAAAACCATTACATTACCAACCACATTTTCGTATTCATTTTGTTATTCTAGAATATTCTAGTTATTCTAGAATAACAAAACGGAATAAATTTAAGGTTTTTTTATGAAAGGCAAACCATCAAATGATCTCTCTTGACCAGGGTAAGGCAAAAGCGAGTGTCGGATTCTTACTGACTAAAACTAAAACCCCCTTTCCTTGTTCTGCTCCAGGCCGAGGACCCTGTACCATAATTCGTGCATTTGTTTGTATATGAGTTAAGAGTCTGACACTTCCTCTCTTCGGGCTAGAGAAGTCATTTGTTAATATTCTTCATACAAAATAAAGCTGCTCAGTTATAAGGGTTTGCTTTATTCTCTACGAGTAATTGATGTATTGACTATTGTCAATACATCAATTACTCATTTATTTATTCATTATAATCTATTGATTAACAAGTTCCAGTGTATGAGTGAGCGTTGCTTAATGAATGAAGTCGGTTTTTACCCATGGGAAGGTAAAAATATATTTTACTCGCTGTCACAACATAGCATTTTGTAAAATATAAATTTAATTCAAAGCCAATTTTGGTCACTGTAATGGGAATAACATAATTATAAAAAAAATCTTTTGCTGAATTCGTGATCGCCCAGGCATAGACTCGCAAGCTAGGTACGTAATACCAATTAAAAAAATAAAACAGAATTCGCTTTCGATTTGTGATCTTTTTTTTTATAACGTTAACTCCTATTAATATTTTTATAAAAAATAATTTAATTTATTTTATATTTAATTTTTGTGTGAATATAATTTAATAATAATTGACTTACATTGCGATGTATCCAGGCTAGACAGACGAGACCCTTGCACTTCCCACCAGAGCAGAAACTTGCTAAGGGACGTCTATTCCTGACACCGAACACTTCTTCTCTAAACTGTTTCTACGCGAATCATAGTAAATAAGCTTATAAACTAACATTTACATTCAAACTAAATAGCACTTAAGGAAGTAAATATAAATCGATTTAATTTGCGCAGAATGATCCTCAACTACATAATAATATAAATGTGATCAGCATTTCTCGATGTTTGTACCTAAATGCATATTTGCGCGTTGCTATATTTTGTTTGCTGACAAATTAATATTTTATAGCACGTGATTATTTACATTACGCAAAACAAAAACACGTATTATTTTTGTGTCAGATAATGTACAATGAAATATGTATTTTTTATTTTATATCATTAAATTTAAGTTTTGGGAAGCCATACTTTGGTATTAATGGGTCGAATGATACCACCAATCGACAGTGATAGATACTGCGTCCTCATTTAGGGCTGATTTTATGCCATCACTCCTTAATTTAAGCAACTTTTGCAAATATATTTATATAAAAAAAACTTTCTTTTTAATCGTGTCCTACCATTGAAATATGGAAAACATCGACTTATTATTTTTTATTATTCTTTATGTTCGATTCTATAGTAATATAATCGTGTTATATATCGTTGTTAAATTTTTATAACGACATCGTTATAAAAATTTTCTAGTTTTAGTAAGGCAGAATAGCTTTTAGAATAGACTAAATTACTAAATTCTTATTTATTTTCTAGTGTTTTATGTTTTAAAAACTGTGCCCTATACTTGGATTTTCTCCTGTGTTGTGAGTGCATTTACAAACCTAGAATATCACATACATATCACACCCAGACCCGGAACAACAATTTGTGGATCACACAAAGAATTGTTCCGTGAGGGAATTGACCCCGTGATACGTTGCGCGGCAGCCAGTTGCCCAGCCAGCGCGCCAATCGTGCAGTCTAATGCAATGCAATGGTGGCATTTACGTTTTTATTAAAAATGCTATTAACACCTTATTTGCACTTAATCAATATTTGTACAGACAGACAAGTTTCAAATCAATAAACACACATTCATATTCATGCTTATGCAGTTTTCTTATCAAATCTCTGCTTTTATTATAATTTATTCTATTACACTTTTGTAGACATCAACATGCATATAAACTATTGCGTTAATCACTTGTTTTTAACATCGGTAAATGTTACCGACATTTATTCTTAAATGCATAAAATATCAAACAAATATTCGACCAGTTTTAAAAGCAAAACTCTCTCTATATATAGTTAAAATACCTATATAAAATATTTGATTTAAAAACAAAATATTCACCACTTATAATGTAAAGTCTGCATGTTTTTTTTTTCAATATGTTTGGCTAACTAAATACTCATCTACCTGCTTTAAAGCTTTTACGAGGATTTTATAAAAACCTCTTTCGATCAAAAAAAAACATGGAAACTACAAAAATAATGTAAACGGAACTCTACACAAATACGCAGTATAATTAATTAATATAAATTACTACCAAGATAAAAAAATTCAAGAATTAAAAAAAAACATTGCTATGCATTTTTATTTTTTGTAATTATCTACATTTAAAGATTGATAATAATGTCACAAACAGACAGGGAACATAGTAATGCCATGTTATACGCATAGACGATTCTAGAACGATACATTTCTGGTTACACTATTTTCGAAGGCTGGATGATGGCCTCGGCCTAAAGCACGAGAAGGAACGGAGGGGATTTATTGAGTCAGAGTCTAACACTCCTTCTCGCTTCACCCAGAGTGGAAGGCTACATTTTCTGGTTTCCCCCTGACAAAAAAAAACATAGAAGAATGTTCCATTTCGTTTACAAACACTCAAATTCACACCGAATCGAACCCGCATCACGTTGTGAATCAGCCAGTTGCCCGAACATTGCGCCAATCAAACATGTAGGCAATATTTTTATCATTGCAGTTAGCTATTTTTGACAGAGAGTCTGAAAATGGATATAGGTATTTTTTTTTAATCACTACACTTGGTCAAGGCGGATTGGCGATTACAAACAGGTAATAAGAAATTATTTAGGTCCAGGTTTCATCACAACGTTTTGCTTCATGTAAGTAATCTTAGAAAGTTAAACTCGGAAAAGTCACATTGGTATTTAGCCAAGGCGTCTGAAGTCCTCAGACATGGGCGGGGGGCGCTTTAACCTCCGGGCCACCACGACTGTGGCAACAGCACAGGCTTGGTAACGTGGTACCAGATAACAAAAAATAATTATGATATTTGTAATTCTAATTAGCAAATATGTACAGTGAATAATACCTTTGAACCAACACAATAAAATTAATAAATACATAGTTACAAATAAAATACATGACGGTATTCTTTCAAGGTCTTATTAACTTTATTAAATAGTTAATTCTTCGCAGAATACTAATCAGAGTAATCAGGATGTTTAATAGTAAATAATATGAAACATTGTTAGTTTAACTAGTTATGCCGTGCAGCGTCATCTAAGGGTATTGTGTTGTGGAATAAAGTGGAAAATAGTAAGTTAGTTACAGCTGACTGTAAAGAATATTTTTAATCAATACTTTTAAATAAACATTTATGCCTTGATTTCACGATCACTTAAATTAAATAGATATTAAGTTGTTATTTAATATATAGTGATATTTAAGTATAAATTAGAGCGCCTCTTACGCTAAAAAACGTTGTGTGCAGTTTGGCGTTTTTGTTTTATTGTAACAGAATGTTGTTTGAAAAATTAAACTAAATATCTTGTCATGCTTTTTTTGGGGGGGGGGCAAATCATCAACTGTCTTCTTTTGTCCAGGGTAAGGCAAGAGGGAGTGTCAGACTCTTACAGACTACAAGACATCCCCGTTCTTTCTCCTCGTCCAGACCAAGGCTGCGGTGCCTTATTGCGATTTCCCTGCATTATTGCACTTGCCCCGCAAATCTTCTCATGCTAAGCAGATCACTTTGTATTCATCATGTTAAGAGAATTATGTTGTATATTCCAAACACGGAACAAGTATATACATACAAACAAATAATGTATCTAATTATTCTCAGACATAGGAATGTAAAGACACTATAAATATTTAAAATCGAGAATCAAATGTCCTTGAAAACCTGACCTAACCAAACGCTTTACTCAAATGAGTCATTTTTTTTATTGTCAAATCGACTGTTTTCTATGATGTAAGAAAGTGTGTGGCGATGTCAAATATTTCGCATTAATTAATATTTTTTTATTCTAGAATCATTTTAAATTTGAAAGCTAGACAATCTTCAGCTCAAATGAGTCAGCTCAACCAGAATGAGACCACAACCTCATAGAAAACCGGCACAAAACCACCACAGAGTTGTATTTTGCCGTATGACTGAGGTTACCAGAGGCCTACCCTACATCCTTTCCTAATTGCTAAATTCCTAAACTACCCTATCGTAAAATATGTATATGTATTTTTTTGTCATATGACCGAAAATGGAGCAGATGGATTACCTGATGGTAAGTAATCGACGCCGCTGTGTGTTGACGGCCTTTTGGGGATTGGATTTTCGGAGATATAGGGATCGGGGAGGTGAAAAAAATTGGGCATAATGATTAGAAGTGTGATTTTTTTCTTACTTAATATTGTATTAAATTCAGGATAATAATAATTTTTTTATTAATTTACTCTGAGTAAACTATCCAAAAGACAATAATATTTTCATCTTTTTGTAAATATTAAATTCATCTTACACATTAGTGCAGGAACTAATATTTTTATCCAATACACTTATCGGTTAATCAACTACTTGGTAAATTATGTATATCATAGTATAAAATGGGGCTATCAAAATATCAACTGAAACACCAATTTATTTGTAACAAAACAATATAATGTTTGGCTCACAATAATATTATTCAACCTAATAAAATGTTTTTTTTTTATTTATAAAGACTTTACTATTTGTAGGTGTGTTTCCTGTACCAAGACCATGCGGGAATTTACGTGGTGGCTGGTGATCCAGCTAACGCGCCAACTACATTGCCGTCATCTCCGTATAGTACTTGCAATATAAAAAGTAAATAAAAAAATGCCACAATTTACCAGCAATCACAAAAAATATTAAATCAAATTATGATCCTGTTTTATCATATCGGATGCTTTTTCTGCAATCATTATGATTGCCGCCATTGGATTTCCCCTAGTGATAGTCGGCATCACACTAGCATCAGCTATACGCAGATCTTTTACGCCATGAACTCGTAATCTTCCATCAACAACAGTGCCCATAGGGCATGTACTGGTTATCTGGTTTAACCCAACAGAAACACATGTAACGTAACAATGCCAGAACTCTCTAGTATCTTTCCCAAATTTATTACACCTAGGAGCCGGTTCTGCTAACTCTGAACCGACGTCCACAAAGTAAGTTGTATTTATCACACGTAGATAGTCGAGTATACTGTCTATAAGAACATCAATATCATCTTTATTTGAAAAAAATCCAGTGGTAATAACTGGAGGATCTTCAGGATTAATAGTTTTCAGAAGTACTTTTCCTCGTGACTTTGGGTTTATATTTATTATTTCACTGAACACTTGAAGTCTTTTCACGTTTTGTTTAAAAATGTTATTGCAAACTTCATCGCTGAATTGAAATGCAAAAGTGCAGTAGTATATTATAACTTCTGGTGTAGTTACATACGTTACTTGCTGGTAATCAGGAATTTTCGAAGATTGGTTCAGTGAAACAAAACCAGTGATTGAGAATCCAGGTAATTGGTAAGGGCTGGGTTCTGGTGGATCAGTAACGTTTTCCATATTGTGAACTATAATGGTACTGAGATGCTCCTGTAGATTTTCACCTACAGGTAAATTTGAAACCACTTCTATATTTTTCCGCCTTAAATGGTCTTCTGGCCCCACACCAGATAACATTAGCAGTTTAGGTGTATTTATTACTCCAGCAGACACAATAACTTCTTTTTTAGCTTTCAATGTCATCGTTTTACGATCCTCAGTAAGGACTTCTACGCCCACAGCTTTTTTGTTATCGTCAAACAAGACTTTAGTAACTAAAGTATTTTTCAGTACATGAAGGTTATGTCGGGTTTTGATTGGAGATAAAAATGCATATGCAGAACTTTGGCGAGATCTACCACCTATCGTTAACATCTGCGACGAAAATCCTAAAACATTGTTTTCATTGAAGTCAAGCAATATGTCATGTCCAAGTTCCCGGTAGGCGTCTAAATATGTATCTATTCCTTCCCGGTGGTCTTTAGTTATTTGGAGTAATCCATCAGTTCCATAATATTTCTTGTCAACTGACTGAAGAATTTGTGCATCATTCAGTTTGATCGATTTTATAAAATATGGTGAAACATTTTCCCATTTCCAGGTGGCATCATTGGCTGCTTCGGCCCATGAATCGTAATCACTGGGATGCCCTCTATTATAACTCATGTAATTCAAAGAACTGCTACCTCCAAGCATTTTTCCTAAAATTATTTCATACGAAAGTTTGAGCCGACAAGAATCTTCAAATCCCTCGAGCTCTGCCGTATAGTTCCAATCGTAGCGAGATTTTTGCATTGTAATAGGAATAGCAGGTAGCTGAAACATTTAAAAATAATATTTTGTGTATAAACATGTCCTTGTATATTAAATAAAATTTATTATTTAAACATGGTTTTATAAAAAGAAAAAATATAAAATATACTGTCAATAAAAAAATATACTGTTTAAAATAAGTGGATCTAGGTGCAGAAGACGTATGCATCTTGACTAAGATAAATAAACAGAAGTTCTTACATCTGATTCAAAGGGTGGATTGCCACCAGCTTCAATTAGCAGAACATTGATGTGTTCGACTTCTGATAGTCTATTGGCAATGACACTTCCTGCTGTTCCACCGCCGACTACTATGAAGTCGTAACTAGCTCCATCTGAAATTTTTAAAGTATTTTTTATTGGACATTTTGAAAGTGGAAGAGCCAAGCTTCTGCACGTATGGGTCTGCTCGATTGGAGTGATACCAAAGCCTTACAGAAAACCGGCGAAAAACAATCACAGCGTTGTGTTTTGTCGTGTGACTCACAAGGCCTACCCCTTCCCCTAGCAACATTGTGTCAACGTTGATATAAGTCCCATGTGACTTGGTATAAGCTATAGATTTTAGTTTCAGCTCATCTCCAGTACAAGATATTTTTACTAAGTATCTAAGTACGTACATTAAAATTTAATAATGTTAAATCATAATCATTATACTACGACTGTGAAGTTACTTTAATGCCATTTTTGAGAAAAGATTACCAACAATGTTATTGTAATTATGATATGATATGATGTAATAATTTGGTAAATTATATGGTTAATAATATCATGCAAGTTATATCAGTTAAGTTAATATTTCATATCTTCCTTACCTACAATTTATATTAGCTTTTAATCCGTTTGTAATAAAATAAAAACAAATAATTCAAAACATTCTTTAATGATTTTTAATTCAAATATTAGATTTTATAATTCAAATTTTATGTATTCATTAGTAATTTTGAAATGTTAATTTATAATTGTAATCCAGATTCTATAACGTAATTTTTCTAATTATCTTTCTGATATACTCTTTCTTGTTCATATTGGTGTTATAGTACCCTATGGGCCTCGATGCCTGACAGTAAAGATATTTTATTTTATTAAAGGATATTGGCACTTTTATTATATATAATGTTATGTTGAAAATACTCACCACGAACAACAGCTTGGTGCGGCCATAAGTAGTCGGAGAGATGCAAAAACGCGACTATTCTGAATGCATTTTGCAAAATTTCCACTGTTTTAAAGGCGGTAGCAGCGTTCATTGTTTTAAAAATTATATTGGAATCAATCAAAATATATATCTATTAATTCCTTTAGTATTTAATAATAATCGATGTTTTTATATGTACATCGCGATATAAGACCGAACACACAAGGTTGGTTAATTCAAAGAAATAAAGTAACAAATTACTTTGTCACTCGTTTATAAAGAATCGAGTAAAAATAAAAAAATAAACAATAGCTAGGCAAAACAATTAATTACATCACCAAAGCCATTTTAGGTTATGTTAATTTTCTAGAATAGGTAAACAACTCGTAATTTGTAGTTAATAATTAGATAAGAACAAAGTAATGGGTAGTGATGTCATCAAATATTTAATAATATTTGAAAATTATGAAATAATATACATAAATGATTTATAATTGTGAAATTGAAAAAAAAAATTAATTAAACTTGTAATATAAAGACAATTATTAGATAAGAACAAAATAATAGGTACTGATGTCATCAAATAGCTAAAAATATTTGAAAATTATAAAATATACATTCATAATTTTGAAATTGAAAAAAAGGAAAATTAACAAAAATCCTACACATTTTTTATTTTTATATTAAAGATAATGGCGCTGTTCGAGGATAATCAATCAATATCAAGCCAATACTGAACATGTTCACGAGTTCGAGATTTACCTATTATACTTTTTCAAGAATATTTTATAAATTAAATGTATATTAATTTACAAAAATAAATATAAATCAGAAATTATACATATATAATTTACGATATGAATATAAAGAAACATTACAATCATGAGAAATGAAATCAAATTGGAAAATCCTTTTCGTCTTGTTCAAACAAGTTTTCATCAAATTTGCACGGCACCAACGAAAATTGTTTTCAATTGTTTCTTTATTATTCTATTGTATTTTGTATGACGATGTAATTGCATTTACTTAATAGAATACTTACCAATTTTGAGCAGAATGATTCTCATAGTTTCGAAAAGCACAGTCCCACTAACATAACTAATTTAAACAGAGACATATTTAAAGGTTACTTTTATAATCAATCATCAACCAAAACCATGTATCATTAGTTGAAATTTTTATTTTTATGAATGCTAAACATCAAGCTATGATATACCAGTCAATAATGGCCTAGTTTTGTATGATATTTCCATACATTGAAGGGCCAGTTTATACTGAAAAATTGCATAGTGTTTGTACTTTTTTGTTATGAATTAGACACCACTAAGATACAGTTAAGAAAAACTCCTTAACCTAGGCATAAAATTGAGCTGAGCACCTTGAGCAACCTGGTGATACTTATAGTATAAAACCTTTTTTTATGCAAGAAGAGGCCTTTGCTCATCAGTGGACAATTAAAAGCTGGTAACATATGTATATAAATACCCATAAAAACAAATATAGCGCAATCAAATGCATGTTGGTATTTTATGTTAATAATAGTAATTAAATAATATATCACCACTTGCGGTGCTTGATAAGATACCCCATGTCAGGTTAAAACACCGAGAGTACCCATTCAAAAAAAAAAACTGTTTTATACAGACGCAACTTTAAATTTCTATACAACAATATAATAAATCAAAACTCTAAATCAGTTTTCCTATACAAAACCCAGAGTTACTTTCATAACATTCATCACTTTGCAAATGAGGCACAGCGGCCTTGGCCTAGAGCAGGATAAGGAACGGTGGTTTTTGTCAGTAAGAGTCTGACACTTTTTCTCGCCTCACCCTGGGCGGGAGAAGTCATTTGATAATTTTTCCCTGACAAAAAAACCTGACACAAAACTTATTTTCAAGTATTACTCGTGATGGAAAAAAAAAACATTGTTAATTGATTAAAATTATTTGTTTCATTTAGATCAAATTATGGTCCTGTTTTATCATATCAGACGCTTTTTCTCCAATCATTATAACCGCCGCCATTGGATTCCCTCTTGTAATAGTTGGCATCACACTAGCATCAGCTATACGCAGATCTTTGACACCGTGAACTAGTAGTCTACCATCAACAACAGTGCCCATGGGACATGTACTGGTTATTTGACTCATTCCAGATGACATACATCTAATATAACAACGCCAGAATTCTCTAGATTCTTTTCTATACTTATTACACTTAGGAGTGGCATGTGACATCACTGCGTCAACTTTGTGGTAATAAGTTGTTTTCATGACGCGTAAAAAATCCAAAATATAGTCAACTAGACTTTCAATGTCGTCTTTATTTGAATAAAATCCATTTTTAATAATAGGAGGGTCTTCTGGATCTGTACTTTTTAAGAGTACTTTCCCGCGTGATTTTGGATTGATATTAATTATTTCGTTGTACGCTTGGGCTCTTTTAATACCTTGTTTATAAATTTTATTGCAAATTTCATCACTAAATCTAAATGCAAAAGTACAATAATATAATACAGGGCCTGGCAAAGTTACATATGTAATTTGTTGGTAATCAGGAATTTTAGAAGACTGGTTCAGTGAAATAAAACCTGTGAATGAGAATCCTGTTAGTTCATAAGGAGTTGGTGGTGGTAACGGACCAATATCTATATCGTGGACAATAATAACATCAACATGTTCCTGCAAGTTCTCACCCACAGGTAAATTTGAAATCACCTCAATGTTTTTACAATTCAAATGTTCCATTGGCCCCACACCAGACAACATAAGCAGTTTAGGAGTATTGATTACTCCAGCGGATACAATAACTTCCTTTTTAGCTTTTAATGTCATCGTTTTACGATCTTCAGTAAGAACTTCTACAGCCACAGCTTTTTTGCTTTCATCAAACAATATTTTAGTAACTAATGTATTTTTCAACACATGAAGATTACGCCGGTCTTTAACTGGAGATAAAAATGCATAAGCAGAACTTTGGCGAGATCTACCAGCTATTGTGAACATCTGTGCAGAAAACCCTAAAGGAGTGTTTTCATTAAAGTCAAGGACTACATCATGTCCAAGTTCCCGGTAGGCATCTAAGAACTCGTCTATTCTTTTACGGCGGTCTTTAGTTAATTGTAGTAATCCATCAATTCCATAATATTTCTTATCAACTGACTGAAGAATTTTTGCATCATTCAGTTTGATGGATTTTATAAAATATGGTAAAACATTTTCCCATTTCCAGGTAGCGTCGTTGGCTATTTCAGCCCAAGAGTCGTAATCACTGGGCTGTCCTCTATGATAAACCATATAATTCAAGGAGCTGGTACCACCCAGCATTTTCCCCAAAGTCAATTCATAAGAAGGTGTGCGTCTACAAGATTCTTCAAATCTATCGAGCTTTGAGGTATAGTTCCAATCATAGCGAGATCGTTGCATTATAAGTGGAACGGCAGGGAGCTGGAATGTAAAAATGCAAGCATTAATATTATTTGCAACGTATACAAGAAACTTGAAGGTAAATAAAAAATGACGAAAAAGGAATGTTTAAATGTTAAAATTACAATTTCATAATAAGTTGCCCCTGGAAAACTGATATGAGAATAATGTTATTAGGAAAATAAAATACTACCAACAGTCTGTGAACGGCTGCACAGAAAACGCTTACGTTGATTTTCGTCGTGTGAGTGAGGTTACCGGAGGCGCAATTCTTCCTCCTCCCACATCCTCAATCCTTAAATCCCCTATCCTTAAATCCCTAATAACCCCACAAGGCTGGCAACGCACTTGTAGTAAACTCCTTTAGTACTACGAATGTCCATGTGCGGCACTGGTTGCTTACCATCAACTAATCCGTCTATTCGTCTATTTATCGTCTACTCGTTGGCCGACCTATGACAAAAAACATGCTAAGGAGTTCTAAACTTTTTAATTCTAAGTTTTAGATTGCCCATCATTCTCAAACCTCCTCCGTGTGAGAAGAGACCTGTGTTCAGCAGAAAGCTCTTATAGACTGAAGATAAGCGATTTGAAATGTACTTTTACTTGTGTCTGTTTAGAATTGATCTATGTGATATACACTTACATCTGATTCAAAAGGAGGATCATCACCAGCTTCGATGAGCAGAACGTTAATGTGCTCGACTTCTGAGAGTCTGTTGGCTATGACGCATCCTGCTGTGCCACCGCCGACTATTATGAAGTCATAATTAGTACCATCTGCAATTATATAAAATATGTATTTATTTAATAATTTGAACAATTTGTTAGTTTGTAATGTTGTGGGTGTATCTACAATTTTTAACATCTTACATTATAAATGTCAAAGTTTGTGAGAATTGTTATTTGAACACATTTTGACGCGAACCGTGGTGATTTTGTTCTCGATGTAAAAAATTAAATTATTTATTTATACATTTTTATTACACATATAAAAAAGGTATGATTTGTTTAATAGAAGAACGTTTTGAAGTCGGCTTTTATTGCAACCTTTGCATAGAAAAAGATACCAAAATAGGACACCTATTTTAGTATCATGCATGACCGTGATTTTATAAATGTTTGGGTATCACTTGTACTTATGCTTAAAAATCATATGACGGTTCTTATAATAGTTACTTATCATAAAAATAGGTAGGTACTCACCACGAACAATAGCTTGCTGTGGCCACAAGTATTCGGTGAGCTGCAAAATTGCCAATGCTTTAAATGCATGTTGCACTATCTCTGCTAATTTGAAAGCACGAGCGGCATCCAGAAGCATTTTTTAAAATTTATTATCATCGAATCTAAATTAAAGCATTTATTGTCGTCACAACAAATACACTCATATACGTCCAAACATGTGTATATTTTAACCTCATAAAAACAAATTTATGATTGGACTCGTTATTTATATGAAGAAGCAAGTCAATGCAAAAAATCTTAAATGTGTGTATAGGTACAGACATTATTAAAATTAGAATGAATTGTTTGCCAACTGACTGATTTTGAGTATGTATAAAATACCTCTTTAATGAAATGTATGTTTATTTTGAATGAACCAAGTTATACTGTATATAGCTTTAATTATGACAAAACATAATTATCCTATCTAATCGTATTTGAGGTACATCTAAGCAAAATGAGTGCCTAATATGGAAAGACTTAGAGGAATACGAAGACCATACACAAAATGTGCTTTGACATAGGATTTTGACCATTTCCTCCATTAAAAATGTAATCCTCTGAATTAAAAAAAAATGACTTTCATGGAAGATCGACTATGGAATGAAAATAATAACGTGTTAAATGCTGACATGCACAGAAAACTCCAACGTACAACTGCGAGGCGTGGTCAGTTCGCCTGGTCCTAGGTTTTTCGATCTTAATCTTTGCTATTACTTCCCAACAAAATAACTAACCAACTAAATCCTTCATCAAGTAATCTAAGGTGGTGGTGGTGGTGGTGGTGGTCGTGGTGGTCAATGAGATAGTGCTATTAAGAAAAATAGAAAATTTATTTATTTGTATAGTACGGTACAAAACCAATTACACTACATAATTCTTAGGTATAATAACATACTTAGCAATAGCTATTTTTTTATTCACAAGCCTTTCTTGCAATGTGTGTGTTAACAAAATTTTTCAAATTTAATTTATATCAAATTATGGTCCTGTTTTATCATGTCGGATACTTTTTCACCAATCATTATAACTGCAGCCATTGGATTCCCTCTTGTTACTGTTGGCATTACACTCGCATCAGCTATACGCAGATCTTTTACACCATAAACTCGTAGCCTACCATCAACAACAGTGCCCATGGGACATGTACTGGTTATCTGACTCATTCCAGATGACATACACATGATATAACAACGCCAGAATTCTCTGGTTTCTTTTCCGTACTTATTACATTTGGGAGTTACATCGGACATCACAGCATTAACTTTGGTATAATACGTCGTATCCATTACGCGTAAAAAGTCAAAAATATAGTCAATAAGACTCTCAATATCATCTTTGTTTGACAAGAATCCATTGATAATTATAGGCGGGTCTTCGGGATCAGCACTTTTTAAGAGAACTTTTCCTCGTGACTTTGGTTTTATGTTAACTATTTCGTTAAAAGCTTGAAGTCTATTTGGCTTGTAGACATTATTACATACTTCGTCGCTAAATCTAAACCCAAAACTGCAGTAAAACATTACAGTTTCTGGTGCAGCTACATATGCAGTCATTTGGTAATCAGGAATATTAGAAGATTGGTTCAACGAAACAAAGCCAGTGAAAGAGAGTCCTGGTAGTTCGTAAGGGCTAGGTTGAGGCAATGGTTCAGTTAAAGTATCCATATTGTGGACTATAATTGCACCAACATGTTCCTGCAAGTTCTCACCTACAGGTAAATTTGAAATCACCTCAATGTTTTTACAATTCAAATGTTCCTTTGGCCCCACACCAGACAACATAAGCAGTTTAGGCGTATTAATAACTCCAGCAGACACAATAACTTCCTTTTTAGCTTTTAATGTCATCGTTTTACGATCTTCAGTAAGAACTTCTACGCCCACAGCTTTTTTGTTTTCATCGAACAAGATTTTAGTAACTAAAGTATTTTTCAATACATGAAGGTTACGCCGATTCTTAGCCGACGATAAAAATGCATAAGCTGTACTCTGACGGGACCTTCCAGCCAACGTGAATGTCTGTGAAGCAAATCCCAAAGGATGGTTTTCATTAAAATCGAGAACTATATCATTACCAATTTCTCGAAAGGAGTCCAAAAAGTTGTTTATTCTTCCACGGTTATCTCTAGTTAATTCTAGCAACCCATCAGTGCCATAATATTTTTTGTCAGCTGACCGGAGTATTTGTGGATCACTAGTCTTGGTTGACTTCATGAAATAAGGTAATACGTTCTCCCATTTCCAGGAATCATCATTGGCTACTTCAGCCCAAGAATCGTAGTCACTAGGTTGTCCTCTATGATAGACTCTATGATAGATAGAGATAAATTAATGAAACCTTGAATGAGTTTATATAGAAGCATTCTTTTGGATTGTGAGTACGCATATGTGAGCGCCATGTACGAAACAAAAAAGGATTAAAATTTTAATGATAGATTAAATAGACCATCATTTGTTCCTTTTTATTAACAACTTGTCTCTGCATTGTTCTCACATAGGGGTACAGTAATGTATAAAAAATGTATTATTGATGAATTGTAAAACAAATATTTTTTTTAAAAGAGTAACGATGGAGTTTCTTGCTCGTTCTTCTCCATTCGAAACTACAATTTGGAACGAGCACCTAGCTTCACTGACGAACAGACTGACAGACTACTATTCTATTTTGACGTTTCAAAAGTACCTATTTATGGTTTATTTGGAATAAATGATTTTGATTTGATTGATTTGAGACCATATAATTAAGTGAACCTGTTCCACCGAGCATTTTTCCTAATGTCATTTCGTAGAAAGGATTAAGGTGACAAGAATCTTCTAGCTCATCCAACTCTGTCGTATAATTCCAATCGTAGCGAGATCGTTTTAATAGAAGTGGAAGGCCAGGAAGCTAAAATAAAAGAAAAATTTGTTATTGTTTACATAAGTTAGTAAGTTTGATAATAATCAACTAATAAGTTTATACCACAAACAATATTTTTTTTTATTTAACAGTCAGTATCTAAAAGTATTCCTGTATCAAATTTTTGCAACCAATATCTATATAATATATCTTTAAGTAAGAAAAAATACCTATAGTTACCTATGGTACCTTGTTATTTATATATATATATTTATATATTATACAAACTTACATCTGATTCTAAAGGAGGATCGCCACCAGCTTCGATAAGCAGGACATTGATGTGCTCGATTTCTGATAGTCTGTTTGCAATGACACTCCCTGCTGTCCCACCGCCGACTACTATGAAGTCGTAACTAGCTCCATCTGAAATTGTATTAAATGATTTTGAGAACGTATTTTACGGGGCCTGCCTTTATTAGTTATCCGTAATAAGATAGAGTAGACAGATAAGAGATTCTTATCTCTTAGATTCTATCATCTAATAAAAGAGTTTACATTTAGGAGACTGTTTTGTCATGAACAGAACAGACATATATCAACTTGTGAATCTAATTGAAACTACATTACGAATGTACACAAAACTTAAACGCCGATCGATGATTAATCGCCACATGGTTACTAGTGGGCCGACTACTGACCGTGTACCTAAAAATTTTTATTTTAATTCTTATAAATAAATAAAAAATACTTACCACGAACATTAGCTTGGTGTGGCCATAAGTATTCGGTGAGATGTAAAAAAGCCACTATTCTGAATGCATTTTGCAACACCTCCACTATTTTAAAAGCACCTGCAGCATTCATGATTTACAGCTGAAAAATTAAGTATAAATTAATAATTAAGTATGTTTGATTATCTTAGCGTTTTTTTAATGATCTAGCCTAATCCCATTTTTAGGCATATAATTCGAATAATGTATTCTCAATTATGTGAGAACACTTTATTCGACCAGTATCGTTTAGTTTTTTTTAAACATGCTATAATTAACATCCTAACTTAAAATTTTAAATTATAATGCGATCTTTATTGTATATTCTTGCACATTAAATAATATAATAATAAACTCACATCACAAAAAAGTATTTACTAAAATGTTGAATCGTGAAACGAGGCTCAATTATTAAATTAGACATCAGAAAACGCTTTCCAATAATAAAAAAAAAAAATTATAATAATTTGAAAGTGCAACAAAATGTTTATATTTGTTTGTAAATAATACTCACGTATTTCAAGTTTGCTTCCCGAACAATCTGCTTCTACTAACACTAAATACTGTATACACATGAGAAATTATGTAAAAATACTTATATACCGCACGAATCTCAATGTTACCGTAAAACGAGCTGACGTGATATAAATCAAATTCATCTGATTACTATGAAAACAATGCTAAGCAACTTCCAACAATATTATGGCCTTGTACGTGACGGAATCAACCTTTAACTTAAACAAAAACAAAAACAAAATGTTGTTTTCTTGTAATTAATTTTTAAAAGTATTTGACTTTACGTGCTTGCATTATATGTAATTCGCAGTCAACAATTTTATTTCTTTTTCGTTATCTAAATCAAAAAATTAGGGCGCCCGCCCGCCCGGGTTCGAAACCTGGCAAGCACCAATGTGGCTTTTTCCCAGTTTTATGTGCTTTGGATGATTATTTAGACACCACTGACAAACGGTGAAGGCAATTATCGTGAGGAAAGCTGGACTACCTATAATTACTAATTATAAGTTTGTAATCGCCAATACGCCGCGAGCAATCTTAGTAATTAATGCTCAAACCTTCTCCCTGTGAGAAGAGGCCTTTGTTCAACAGTGGGCACTAATAGGCTGATAATGTGATGATGTGATTTCTGAATAAGGAATGCGGAGAAAGAGGTCCAACCTCAGTTTGCCTTACGCAGGTCGAGGTGAGCCATTCGTCAAAGCCAAAGCATGGTTCTTCCACACGTGCCACGGTGTAATTAAACTACTTTTATTTATTTATGGAAGGCAGACGAGCGGATCGTTAGTCCGATGGCAAGTAATCAGCGCCATCCAAGGTCACCTGCAGATAAAAAAAAAAGAATGTCACCGTCCTTTTTAAAAAGAAAACGTTCTTTTATTAAATGTGTGAATATGTCATTACCACTGACGACAGTTTAATCCAGAGTTTTGCTGTATATTCCTCTTTCATATGAAAATAAAGTCTAGGATACCTATATCTAGATAAGTCTGCGAGCACTTAAGAGACCTAGTTGAGTTAGGAATGCAATTAAGGTAAGGTGTGTGAGGCGAGGAATGA